CCATGGCCAAGTAGCATGTGAGTATAACAAAGACTGCCTTTCAGGCCTTGCTGTGTGGAAGCTCTCCTTCACAGCCCTGTGGCTCAAACTACTCCTAAGATCTGCTTTCTAGGAATTCCCTAACAGGCCCATGGGCCTGTGTTGGAAACAAAGGGAATCATATCAGAAAGACCAAGACCAGTCACCCAGAGCAGCTTTATCCCAAAGAGGCAGTGACAGGAGAGCTGTCCCTCTAGAAACTGAAATCTAAAGAGCATGAGTGAACAGGAAGTATGTGTCATTTCTGGCACCCTGGAAAAACACCCTATTGGGTCACAGTAGAGGATGCTGCCGGGGGGGGGGGGGAGGTGATGACAACACAACAGTCCATGCATGAATGTGAGTTTACATTACCATAAGCTTAACTTGTCTGAATGCATTCTTTTGCTCATTAAAAAAAAGTCCTATTTATTCATTTTCCGTGTGCAAGATGTAACCTGGGGTGGTGAGTGTGCCAGGGTGGAGGCCACAGGACAACCTCGTGAAGTTGATTCTCTCCTCCTCCCTTCATGTGCTTCTAGGGTCACACTCAGGTTTTCAGTCATCTTGCCAGTCCATCACTGCTTATTTTTATCAAGGTCTGGGATCTGTAGTCAACCGACCTGCACCTGATCAACAGCTATAGTTCTGACATAAGTGCTGATCTGCGTTTTTAAAAATTATTTTATGTGTATGTGTTTTGCTTGCATATCTGTGTGTTATGTGCATGCCTAGTACCCAACTAGGCTAGAAGGCATCATCAGGTCCTGTGAGACTGGAGTTATAGACAATTGTGAGTAACCATGTGGGTGCTGGGAATAGAACCCTGTTTGTCAGGAAGAGCAGCCAGTGTTCTTACACACTAAGCCATCTCTCCAGCCCCAGTATTGGTATTTTTTGTTCTTACTAATACATAAGACAAAAGTAAGATAACTCATTTATATGTCAAAATGCCAGTTGGGTAAACTGGATAATACTTTTCAAACAACTGGAAACCATTTCTTCATATGTCTAGAAGGATCAATGCAGTGGCTACAAGAGTAACTTTAAACTGTGTTTATCATTTTCTCCATTACTTTCCCAAGTCAAGATAAAGAACAAGACAATGAGGTAGTAAAATAAATAAGAAGGGATGGGATCTGAATGTTACCTTTTTCTGTTAATGTTGTTAAACTGTAGATCATAGGATAACTGCTATAAGCTGAGAACGCAGCATCGGCTATAAGCCAGTGTATGCAGTCACTCTCGTTCCTTACATCAATATGCTTTCAAAATAAAGAAAATGAAAAAAAATACAACATATCATGAGTTCTCAGGGTAAAATCTATGAAATCCTCTTCCTTGTGTTCATTTTCTTCAGGGTTGGGGACAGAGTCCAGGGCCTTCCTTGTACACACCAGGCCCTAGTCTATGGCTGAGCTACACCCCAGCCCTATTGTCTTAACGTGATGGGAAGGTAGACATTTGATCATAAGGGAGACGGGAGGGGACATTCTGAGCTGTATGTACAAAGAAGCAGCCCACTAAGGGGGAGTGTCTACAAACAGAACATAGGGGATAATTTGAAAGAGTCAGAAACGGGACCTAAATCCATGCCCACAGGCTGGTAATACAGGCCAAACCAAGTTTATTCTAAAACTCTCTCTCTCTCTCCCTTCCTCCCCACCACCCCCCATCTCTCTCTCTCTCTCTGTGTGTGTGTGTGTGTGTGTGTGTGTGTGTGTGTGTGTGTGTGTGTGTGTGTTTTATACATGTTGTGTCAATGCACTCATCCACATGGCCCTGAGGTTGACAATGGGATACCATTATAAATCCTCCACCTTACTCTTTGAAACAGTGTCTTTCACTGAAACTAGAGTTTAATGATTCAGCTGGACTGGCTAGTCAGTGAGCCTC